CATTTTAAAAATGTCTTTATGATGACCACGTTGTCAGTCGGGGTCTCACTCTGTCACCCAAGCTGGAGTGCAGTGGCATGACTCCAGCTCACTGCAGCCTCGACTCCGGGCTCAGGTGATCCTCCCATGTCAGCCTCCTGGGGAGTTGGCTCTCCAGCATGCATCACCACACCCAGCTAATTTTGGGGTTTTTCTGTAGACGAGGTCTGGCTGGTCTCCACCTCATGGGCTCAAGAGAGCCTCCTGCCTGGGCCTCCCAAAGTGCTGGGATTACAGGTGAGTCCCTGCATCTGGCCTTAAGAGCTTTATGTGAAGTGCTGCTGCGAAATGCTGACATTACCTGTCCTATGATGCCGCAACGGTCGTTTTGTGCACACAATTGGTCACACCAGCCTCAGCTTCCCCGAAGCCTTCCGGGTCTCCCAAGGGATGGGGCCGTTTCATCTGTGCCACTGCTCACCTCTGCCCTCCCGGACGCTTGTCCTTCTCCGGCACCCAGAGCTTGCGGTCTTGCCTCAGAGGGCCTAGTCGCAGGATTCGAGTCCCATCTCACTGCTGTGCCCGCGGTCTGTGCCTTTGTTGTTTTGGTGCCAACACTGTACAACTTCAGAACAGGTTAAACGGCAGCGAAGCTCAACACCCACCGTCCCGGCACTTGACGACGGGCCGGCACCCACCGCCGTGCGAGCGGCCTGAGGCTGCGGCCACTGAGCAGGGACAGCGGCGAGAATACTGACCTTAAGCTGGAAGAAGGCGGACGGACGGCGGCCGGAGTCTGATGCCACCCGAACACACGTCCCACCGGCCTGCTCACAGCACATGCCCAGGGGCTCGCCGCGGTCCACAGTCCCACCCGGGCACCGCCCACCCCCATGCCCCCATGTGCACACCTCCCTCCTGCCCTGGGTCCTCCCCCCACACCCAGCCCGCACACCGGGGCTCGGAGTTTCGGCCCTGCTCTGACGGGGCGGCGCCCATGCCATCCAGGCTCGGCCCGCAGGGCGTTCTGGGACCGCCCTGCCAGCCACCCGAGGGCCGGTGCAGGCGGCCTCGCCTACTTGGAAGGCTCAAGACTGACTCTGTTCCCTCCCGGGATTGCATCCCAGGTGAACCCTCCCATCTGTGTGGGTCTTGGACGCTGCCCCTGGGGACGCACGGACGAGAGGACGCCACCTCTGACCTCATCTTGCCCTCCTGGGCAACGCACGCTAGCGAAGTGCGTTTTTGACCAGTAATTCACAGACGGCAAAGATGGCTGGCACCGCGTGGCCTGGAGGCTGGTAGTCATTTCACCCAAGGAAGGTGGGGGTGGGTCCCCAGCCTCGATCTGCCGAGGGCTCAGCCGGTAGCCCTGGTGTCTGTCCCCTGACCGTGGCTCTGAGCTGCTCTGTCCTCCCGCTGTTTTCCCGTCAATGAGCCCAATGGGGTGCATCACGTGTTCCCTCGCCGAGTGTGGGAGACTAACTCTTGAGCAGCAAGCACTGGAAGTGGCATGGCGACAGTCGCCTGGCTGCGTATGACCGGGATGCTGTCTCTAACAGTCACTTCCGCTGCAGAGGGAAGACCGCGGACCTTACGCTCGTGCCAGGGCAGCGGGGATGTCTCCAGAATGAGTTATGGGCTCCTGCCTCCAAAATGGCAGGCAGAGCTCTCAGCCGTCCGCCCCATGCCGTCCAGGCGTGGCAAATGGTTCGGGAGTCTTTGGGGAGGCTGGAAGGCCCCAAGGACATGCGAAGTATCGAGGCCCAGAGCGGCCCAAAGCACGTGTGAGGCCCTGGGGCCTGCTCCCGCACCCAAGGACTCGGAAGTGTGGCAGAGGGTCAGCAGAGAGCCGGGAGCTGGGCAAGAGAGGAGGCCAGGGGGCCTGGCACGTGGAGACTGCTGGGAACTGGGACCCCAGCCCCACAGCGTGTCCGCCTGGGGGTGGCCTCTGGGCCTCAGTTGCCGCCCAGGAGAGGGAGAGGGGGGAGCCCCGGCCTGTGCATGGAATGAGGGAGAAGGCCGATGGGACGGCTCGCTGGGAACCGGCTTGCGTTTTCTGCCCCAGGCGAACAGCAGCCCGAGCCGGACACGAAGCCCTCTGTGGAGAGGCACGTCCTCCCCCGGAATGGTGGATGTGTGCCAGACACCGTGCCGCCACACGCTGCATGGCCCTCGGACTCAAAAGCAACGAAACAAACAAAAACACCAAGCATTTATTCCACGGTCAGGCCTCCCACAGTGAACTCCACTCACCGGAAAGGAAACTGCCTGCGCCCTGCACCACGCGGGTTCTTTGACATCCATGCAAATACTCAGAAACAAGCTACATGTGACCGCCGGACCGCACGTGCCACGATTCCAGTCCAGGAACACAACCGCGTCTTGAATCGTGCTCCGCGCTCACAGAGTCCGCATCATAACATCAACTCACCAAATCATGACAGTTGCTCTATGAGGTAGGTATTACTGCGTTACAGGTGAATACCTGAGACCCAGAGGGTAAGCGACATGTCCCGGGAACACTGCCGTGACAAAGCCAGACCTGAAACCCGGCCCTCCAGAACACATAATCAGGAGGCGTATTACACACTATAAATAAGAGTGAGACCAACTCATTCAAGCCAACCACCACGGGAAACAGAAAAATTGGGTCATTAAATATGGCCCTGTTTTTTCTCGGCAGTCTTTGGAAACTGGCCTCTTGATCTGTGGACCTGTTCCTCTCTAACTAGATGCTGGTGACTATTTTTATAAAATTGAGTTTCAAATGTCAACTCTTTTTTTTTCAATTTTTCTCGCCCCCCCCACGTTTTCAAATTCTAATAAACATAAAATGTAGGTAAAAGAGCAAAATATATGTGATTCAAACAAACAAACAAAAAACACCTTCATGGATCCCATTATCCGTGGTCCAAACTTCCAGGCCAGGATGCTCATATTATCCATCAGAGCTGAGTTCTTGAACGTGTTGACACTAATGTGTGATAACATGCAACTTGGTATGTGGGAGGTGTTGTTAAAACTTCACGTGAATTTGTAATACAAAGGCAGATGAGCACTCCGGACGTCTATGATTTTCTTCTTGACAGAACACAGGTGGCTCAAACTTTAAGTCTGATTTATCGGAACTGAATCCTGATTCCTTTAGAAAAAGACGAACTGAAATTCAGGGAGGCAAGCACAAAACTAGGATGTCCGTAATGTTAAAGTAACTCTCCGATCAAGTGACCGCCTTCTAGGCTTTGATTCGTCTTGATTCTTCGATTCCAGGAGTTGGATGAAAACTTTTTCTTACAATTAAACCTGGCTGGTCATCAAACTAACTGAGGATTTTCACTCACCAGATAATATAAGGGTGAAATGTTCAGACAGACAACGTTGTGATTCAATGGAATAAATCTGATCACACAATGAAAAATGAACCAACGCAAGAAAGAATGATGTATTTGAGAACATTTTTAATAAATAATGTGACAAAATTACTTTTCTGATTATTGGATTTTCAGTATGCAAAATTATGGCTAAAAATAAGAGGCTTCTTACATGAACATAATGAAGACATTAACCACATGGTTTCTCCCTTAGTGCTGCACACCTTATCCATGGAACTTGGTCAGATTCCCTAAATGAACGCGTTACGTTTCTGGTGAACACCAGCTTTTTCCGGTGGTTGTCGTGTTCGACTTTTTTTTCCCAGTGGGTTCAGGCCTACTACCTGTCTTATGAATAAATGTACTTTTTTCCTTCAAATAGCACCAATTATAAGGTCAATGACGTTCATAAAATGACAAAAAGGATCGTGGGAACCCACGGCCAGAGGGTGTCACCTGGCAACTTGAAGCCAGGGCGCCCCCGCGTGAGCCCGTAAGGAAATCTCGTTCAGTTTCCACACTGGCCACAACCATGCTAAACCTCTTTTTTTCTTTAAGTCCAGGAACAGTTAGAACCATTCGGTTCACGGCCCACAATAAAGTATGCACAATACTTCACCACCTGTCATCATTCAAATATTCCAAATACAGACATAGAGCATTAACAAAAACAGGTTAAAAACGTGTCTCGACATTTTTTTTCAATAAGACAAAAAAGGTTAATAGTTACAATGGTTTACAAATAAAGTTTAGTGATTGTGCTTTTAAAACCAAAAAAAAAAAAAAAAAAAGATTAAAAACAGTGCATTACAAAAACAAAAGTCAAACTTCCTTAAGTGGCACTTCTGAGAGTTGAACTGACACCACCAGAAGAAATTCAGGCCAGTTAAGACAGGATGTCCTTACTCAGTTGGTCATTAAAAACATCCGCTTGCTTGAAATATGCGCTTATAATTGCTTTTGGGTTGAAAAATAGAACAAGGCTTTTGCTAGGCTTACTTATGACAATGACTAGACAACCAGAGATCCAGCTCAGCCCTACGTGTCCCAAAGAACATTTCCAAGAAGAATATACTTCCATGACCGAAATGAAGACAAAAGAAAGTACCACCAGGGGCTGAGAAGAGGACGTATTTACAATGTTTCGACCCCGCTCGGACTGTGTGTGGTTCTGCATCGGCTGTGTTTCTAGATCCCCCAGCAAAGGGTGGTGTGAGAGAGACTGTCAACCGCGGTAGAACGGAGGGTGTTTTCACTTGCATCGCGGGTTGCTTAGAGAAGGAGTCGACTTTGAGAGCCCTTGGCATGAGGCTGAGCCATCGGCTCGATCCAGTTCACTGTAAACTAGCTTGGCGGGTAAGCGGCCGCGCGGGCCACAGCTCAGGGACGCCGGAGGACGGCGGCAGCATCCTCTCCCACAGCTGAAGCGAGGAGTCGACGGCGCTCTCCTTGCTGGAAGGAGGGGGCGGTCCGCGCCGCCAGCGGGGGTTGGGGGCGCTCAGGGGGTTCTCCGTAGGGGCGAGGGAGCAAACAACAACAATAAAAACCCAATAAAATCGCAAAAATGAGACCCCGGAAGAGGAATAGAAACGATCACTTGTACACTCTGATTGCACGGAACGTGTGTCTGGCGTCGTCGTCCTCCGAGGCATCGAGGGCTGGTCCCACGTCTGATCTCGGGGGCCTCGCGGCGGCTTCAGCTCTCGGTCTCCTGGGAGAGATGCATTTTTGCCGAGTTTGAAAACACACCCACTGCCTTAGGCTCACACACATGCACTTATTCCTAAAATCTCAGGCGGCTTTGGGTATGCGCTGGCAAGGTGCATGGCTGCCACTCCCCTGCCAATCTCAGCAGCTCTTCCGCAGAGGCCAGGCTGCTCTGTGGGCCTGGCAGGGAGGGCCCAGGCTCAGGAGGGCGCGGGGTTGTCCGATCCCCTCAGCCCCAGCCCCGCACAGGTCTGCCCCCAGGCTCTTGGCCAGTGGAGGCCATAGTCATGACGTTTTGGCCCCAGAAAGGCTTCTTCTACTGAAAAAATGCAACGTGAACCTGAAAACCAACGTGTCCAACACACGTTTGTTTGCAAGAGGGAAGTCTTTCTGATTCCAAACCTGAAAATCAAACACACTGGGCTCTTTTTTTTTTTTTGAGTTAGTCTCACTCTGTCGCCCAGATTGGAGGGCAGTGGCCGCTCCCGGCCACCGCAGCCTCGACCTGCTGGGCTCCGGCCATCCTTCCGCCTCAGCCTTCCGAGTAGCTGGAATTACAGGCGCGCGCTCCCACGCCCGGCTGAGTTTTTGATTTACTGTAGAGATGAGGTCTCACCAAGGTGCCCAGGCAGGTCTCGAGCCCGCGGGCTCAGGCAATCCACTCACCTCAGCCTCCCAAGGCGCGGGATTACAGGCTGAGCCACTGAGCCTGGCTCACACTGGGCTCTTTAGAACACTCAGTTTGACATAATTGCTTACGATCTTTTTATCTTCTATTATAAAAGGATATAATTTGATACACACTTATCATCTACCCGAGATTAAACATGTTAAAAATTTTTCCTCAACTTATTTTTATATTAAATGGAGAAAGCATCCCAGCACTTTGGAAGGCCGAGGTGAGAGGACTGCTTGAGCCCAGGAATTAGAGACTAGCCTAGCCGATAAGTGAAACCTCGTCTCTAGAAAAAAAAATGATTAGCCCAAAGTGGTGGCCTGCCTGTAGTCACAGCTACTCAGGAGGCTGAGGTGGAAGGTCTGCCTGAGTCCAGGAGGTCGAGGCCCTGGTGAGCTGTGATTGTGCCACGCATTCCAGCCTGGTAACAGAGTGAGACCCTGACTCAAAAAAGGGAGAAAACACAATCTCTGAAAAAGTGAGGGGAATATGACATGACTTCCTGCCAGCTGTATCTCATATTGCAGAATGTTTGCATCTGTGCCACAGACCAGGTTGACATTTGCGGAGGAGCACGGGTTTGACAGTTAACCAAATTAGCGACATGCCCCGGTGATCACGAGGGTGACAGACAGCACAGGGTGAACGCCACGTGACTCTGGCACTTCCCCGGGCCTCCAGAGCTGACCAAAATGTTGTGAACCCTGTGTCTAGACCCAACAGTTCTTATTTCCTCACTGTGCTCGCCATATGCAGTTCTTATCTGAAAACCAGATGAATATGAACACAATGTCTACAAAGAAACTGCTATTTCAAGAAAATTCTGAAGTCCTCAGCACTTCGGTTTCTGGCATCACAGACCTCGGGGCACTGAGGAGTCTATCACAAGATGGCGGCATCTCTGCACATGCGCGGACATTCCTCACGCCAGGCCGACAAACCGCTAGGCAATGCCGGCAGAAAGGTGGGGGAAGGACAGGTACCTCCACTTCTTCATTGTCGTCTTCCCTCTCGCAGCCTCCAAGCACCTGCATTTCCGCGATGTTCCTCCGGCCTGCGCTCGCCGGCTCCCTCTGCCTGCTTCCTGACCCTCTCGATGACATGGAGCTCGAGGAACTGGGGTCTCTGGGATTGTTCGACGTCGGGAAGGTAGGTCTGCAGTAGGGCGGGATGTCCTCTGCGTGACGAGACACAGGGACACATGTCAGCAGCCCGGCACGCGGCGTCGCCTCACTCACGCCTGCCTGGGATTCTGGGCAGGGAGGCGGCAGGGATTTCCGGGGAGGGGGCAAGTGAATACAGCAGCCCTGTCTTGAAAACGAACACGACGTGCCTTGCTGCTGTTCTGGTGGGGCCGGGTCTGGGTGGATTCCACCCACAGGCTCCCGTGCGTCTCCCACCCACGGAGACCCGCTGCCAGGTGAGCCAACCCGAGCCCCGGCCTCCCTTCCTGCCTCTCGCTGCGGGGTCTCAGGTGGTGCCAGCTTCCGCCTGGACCCTCCCAGGAAAGCGCTAACGGCATCTGTGCCAGAGGAGAACATCACAGCCTCCTAGTCAGCCTGAAAACAGACAGGGGGAAGGGGTGACGCCTCTGTCCCCCGGAGAGTGCCAGGGAAGGATGGCGCTGAGCCCCGCCTGAACTCGCTCCAGACCCCACGGCATCGCCCTCCATCTCCGCGACCC